ATATATATGTAATCATATGATTGATATATTGAGGTATGATAAAATAGAATGAATACTTAAATTAAAATAAATCATTACAGTAAAAATCATCACATTGTCATTGTCCCCACCCCCAAACTACTCCCCTTGATTTGTCTTTCTTGCCCCTTCTGGAGTAGTTCTTGAAGTCCTCTTTTGTGCAGGTCTTTACCTGTGCAGTCATGGGTACCTTGCTGTTCTGAATCAATTCCAATACAGTAATACCTTGCTTCATGAACAATTCTGTTTGCAAACAGAGCATCTGGCAACATTTTACTTCCAGTAGCGAACTCCACACTGAGCTATGCACACTGCTAAGGCCACCTTCCCTGGAATCATGGAACAAATTATTTGTTCATGAACCAAGGTACCATTGTATTTATCTTGCATCATTGTTTTGACTTCAGGGAAGAGTCAGAAGTTGTATAATACCAAAAGTTGTATGATACCAGACCCAGTGAATAAGGTAGGTGAAGGCGTATCACATAGTAGTTTATTTGACAGACATTGCCATAAATATTTTGAATCAATTCAGGACGTGAAGGCAGCCATGACAATGCAACTGAGGACACTCACAAAAGAAGACTTCTATAACTGCTTCAGAAAGTGACAAAACTGATGAGCCAAGTGTGTTTGAAGCAAGGGGGTAAATGGCAATATGTATTTTACTGTAAAAATTTTAAAAATGTTTATCTAACCATTTACCATATTTTGTGATTGATTCTGCCTCACAGTGTTGCTTTTCCAGACTGCTCTATAGTTGAACGCATGTGGAATGGAGCCTCCAAAGTTTGGCCTCTTTCGCTTAGTTATAGGGATTCGAGGTTCCTCCATGCTTTTCTTGTATTGAAAGCTAATTTTTTTTTCTAATTTCTGACTAATACTGCAGTGCTAGGTGAGCTAGTTTAGTCATTTATTCACTCATTTTCTTTTAAATGCTCATTGAAAGCTTCTTTGGGCACAACAGAAAACTTCATTAGCAGTTTCTTTGGAGTCCTTAGGCTGTCACTAACATTCAAGATTCTTCTTGCTCTGCCTGTTACTCCATACCTAATCAGTCCCTTACATTCCCAGTTTTGGTCACAGTAGTATCTCATTTCTAGGCACCAAAATGCCTGTACTATCCAGGATTTGTGCAGAGAATTATCCAGGATTTGTGCATAGAATTATACATGTACATTTCTTATTACACAAAAATCAATGTGCATGTGCATACTATAAATGTATTTGTTAGGGCTTTGATTATGTAATTGTACAGCTGACTGCACCACTTATATGAAGCTGCTATTTCTATATCTGTCAATGGAGCCCTATGCTTGCAGGACAGGCATCTGGGAAAGAAAGGAAACACAACTGGTCCTGGAGATAGATTGATATTGAAGCCATTTTTCCTTGACTTTAAGTCTGTAGCTTGATTGATGGGTATGGTCTGCAGGAGAAGCTGGCAGCCTTTACCACAGAGCTGCACATGCACCTGGCCCAGGTCTTGGAGAAGCAGGAACAGATGGTCCAGCAGGAGATGGAGAAGCTGAGTGCTTGGCTGTTGCCCGTGCTGACCAGGTGAGCAGAATAGTATGAGTGATTGGCATGAGCTGCAGTAGTGCCTGGAGGCTCCACTGACCTTCCCAGAGCACAGAGGAGGTGGCTGTTCCCTTCCTGGTGTGCACATGTCTCTTGTGCCTCATAGTCTCCTGGTCCTGCACAAGGAAGGGAACCCTGGGATATTTCACTGAGTTGACACAATGCAAATACAATTCTGCTGGACTTGTCTCTATCTTGTTTTTCCCTCACTTCATTAATTATTTCTTCATAACTGCAGGGTTTTTGCACTTTGGTTTAACTGTCTAAATCCAATTGAATCTTTGTTATTGCAGGATTTCTCTCTCCAACATGTACAACTCCTTTTTGGTCTTTACTGAGTTCCTTACAGCAGTGCTTTTAGTTTCTTCTAGTCTTCTCAGACCTTTATTATTGCCCTATTTCACTCTCTTTTTTTTTGCCAGGGGCAATTAAAGTGAAGACATGTAGGCTACACCAGTGACTTTAAGACCTTAGAGTGACTGAGGTTCACTTAATAAGACCTAGTGATTCTCAGTCATCCTAAGGTACGGGCCCTTGTGTAAACATAGATTTCTGGCTCCAGCTCCAGGAGTTTTAGACTCTACTCTACTAGCCTATCAGCCTAGATAGAGCATGAGAAGGTGACTTTATAGTGGGTTTCTATGTGACTCTATACCATAAAGACCTATAGTGGTGAGACGGGGAAGGGGTTATCATGGTAACCACAACAGCAACAGAACTTTGCTGTTTTCTGGATATTATTCTTTTCTTTGTTTCTTTTTGTTTTGTTTTGTTTTTTTTTAATGGAATGTGCTGAATGTCTATAATTTTGTTCAGATGACTGCAGAACCTGGAAAAGCTGTTGCTGCTATTGATGCATTACATACTGCTATTATTAGTCTTTTTATATAAATATAAATATATACATACATATATATATATAAATTGAATTTTGGGAAACTTTAATGGTGCTGCCAATTTTGCAAAAAGTTATCCCAATTTACTGTGTTGAGTTGGCATTGTACAGAAATGGACAGCCATATTGGTCTAGAAATGTTAATTTTTTTCATTTTTATTTTTTATTTTTTTCCATGTATACAGGGGTAACACATCATACTAAATATGTAAGGTCATATCTACATGGGTATGGTTACAGAAACTAATAATGTATTCTCTAAATAATGAAAAAAAGAATAAGATAAGATTATAAGAGCAAGAAGCAATTTAAATATGTTCAGGGACCATTTTCATCTCCAGAATTAAGGATTATTTTAATGTTTCATCATTGCCTTTTCTCTTTATTTTCCTTTTTAGTTTTATTTTAGGATTCCCTATTTTTAATGTTCATACAGAGATTTCTTTAACTGAAATACCGAATAGTTTCTTTGGTGTGAAAAACTATAATAGTACACAGGATCCTAATGAGATAATTAATAATGTGAAATAGGAAGTAAAGGGCTAAAGGTGTAGAGAAAGTGGGAATGGTGGGGGAAAGGTAATAAGGGAGAGGAAAAAAATATGAGAAATTGAAAAATGGAAATAAAGTGTTTGTAAATGGGGAGGGGAGGAGGGGGTGAAGGGAGGGCAGGGACAAGGGGAAAAAATGAGAATCAAGACCTATTATGTAAAGGTACAGAATCCCAATGATGAATGTAACTGTATTGTATACCTAAATTGTACCAATAAACTCAATAAAAAGAAAAAAAAGAATAATTGGTGTACATATCCACTCAGACTTATGTAATTTCTTGGTGTTGGGAACGTTTGACATTGTTCCTACTAGATATTTTAAAATATATCAGTGGTTGTCAGCTATAGTTATCCTGTTGTACTATAGAACATTAGAAGTTGTTGCTTCTATCCAATTGCTCCTCGGTAGCCATTAGGTGCCTTCTTTCCCTGTCTACCTCCCCACATGCTTACCAGCCTCTAGTAGCTACTGTTCTAATCTCTGCTTTGAGGTCAGCTTTTTACCTTGTACAAGTAAGTGAGAACAGGCAGTATTTATCTTTCTGCGAAGAGGCAGGTTTAGCAAGAACACAGAGTGTAAGGAATTTAAGAGTGGCTTCTCTTCCTACAGAAAACAAACATTAGCCATAAATAAGAAGATAAGTTCTAGCCTCTCATCTGCCATTACCATGCTATAAGATTTGAGCCTATCATTTAAATCATCTGGCCCCTGTTTCCCAGAATGTAAAATAAAGTGGATAGATGAGATTACCCCAAAAGAAGTGGGTTTAAAGTTCAGTGACAATTTTAATGAGAATATATGTTCACTGAACAACAGGATTGATGTCATTATTTTGGAAAATAATACGGAGGCTTATTAAAATGAAAAAATCTTGAAAAAGAAATTGAACATCTTTTTGTGGCTTTAGAAGCTTGATTGGGGTCTTACAAGACAAACTAATCTTCTATCTTGTTTTGAGTGAACTTTTTGAGGAAGGTGGGAGGCTAGTTCTACAACTGTGTACCATAGCATACCAATCTCTTGCTTAATGTAATTTCCTCCCAAAGGCCAAAGTCAACAATGTGGCACACAAATAAAACCATGGAGTCAAAATTTCAATGCATAAGAGATTGTGGTAGGGCAAGTTTTGATGGAAGAATTCAATGAACCATCTACATTATTTGTTACATTTATTGACTGAAAATTAACTATGAAGCTCTAAAAAAAATGAACATGGAATGTACTCTATGGAGACATTTTTTTGGGAATCTGATCATGTAATCTGGTGGTGACAATTAAATGGAATGGTTTTTAATCTAATTTTTTCAGTATAAAGTCATTGATAATTTAGTTTGATTTTTCTGGAGTAGCTATATTATTTAGTATTCCAGGGAGTGGTTGTGAATTAAAAAATAGGTAATTTTTTTGGGAAGAAGTAAAGATTTGTGGGTGAAACTTAGATTAGTCTCTCTTCTAGAGCTCGAAGTCTCCAATCACAAAGTAATGATAATGTATTGAAATATCACATGTACCTCATAGATGGGTAATACTGTTACATGTTGGTTAAATATTTAAAATGTTTATTGATATTTAACAATTGTTAAGGTACATTACTTTGTATTCCATACATACGTACAACAGAAATAACAAAATCTAAGTGTTTAAGTAATTTGTCTGAGATAGAAAACCTAGTAAATAGATGTATCCATATCTACTAAACCCAAATACACATCATACTTTATTCCCTCTGATTCCAAGACTAGGAACAGAAGATAGGGAGTTAGTTGGAAAACAGAGGTAGGATTACTAGGGGCAGCCTCTTCAACGATAAGCCATCTACATTAATCTGGACCATTAGAGTGTCTGCTGAGTATCAAAACTGTCAGGAAGGTTTCTGACTTCAATCCCCCTTCCCACTTTCTTCCATCACACCCTTATTCCTGACAAAGAAGGAGCTAGGAATTTATAGAACTGTAGGCTTTGCAGAAGCCAGTTGGCTGATTCAGGAAGCTGTGGTTCAAAAAATAGATTCTGTTAGAATGATATGATATGAAAAATGATATGCAGTTCTACAGAGTGCCTTGCAGTGCCTTGCTTGGTAACTGAGACACGATCCCGTATATAATTTGTGGGTCTCAGTGCAAAATAAAACTTGTTAGAAATTACTTATTTCAAGATAGAGATAAAAGAGTGAGCCCTGTGTGAAGCACATGGGGTGTGCACTTTGAAATTGGTCCTGGATCCTGAATTAAGAGAAGAGATTATTTCTCCAGTTTTTGAAGTTGATCCACATTAAAGACAGCTCACTTTAAAAGAATGGCAGTTTACACCCATTAATAGGCCATAGAATGAAGGGTAAAGTTTACATTAAATTTTAAAAAATGTTAGTTTTACAGATATTTGCAGGCATAGACAAGCTCTAGGATGGTCAAGACTATACTTTTTCTTTTTTCTTTTTGGTGGGGTAGCAAGAGTGGGGGGCTAGTTCCTTTAATAGTTAAAGGAGAATTAGAGTTCATAATTATTTCAGCTGTTCAGAAACTGCATATGACATCATGAACAGAGAAGGTAATAATGTGAAAATACATTTTTGTGTATCAATAACTTAAAAAGTTTTTTTTCATTTTCTATCTTTCTGAGTCCCTGGAGCTGTAAAAAAATAAAAAATAAAAGAAGCAATCTTCTTTTTGAGGAACTGGAACTTGGCTTACATTTCAACAAATAGATTTTTTAAAGAAATCTGTTTCTTAATCAGAACGTCCATGGAAAAGTCACCATGTAATATGCACAAAAGATGTATTTTATTAGTGAGGTCAAGACAATACTTCAATTTTTCTTAAAGTCAATGGTTTGGTGCAGTTATAGTTGAGTGACATGATGCTTTAAGGTAGAACAAACAAGTTGCTCATTTAATCTGTTCCACTGGTCCTCAGGTCTGTTTCTTTGCCAGTACAATGCTGTTTTTATCACAGTAGCTTTGTAATATAGTTTCAAATTGGGAGTTGTGACACTCCCTAATTTGAACTTTTGGATTGTTTTGTCAAGGTCTGGGAAGTATGCTGCTGTAATTTCAATTGGGAAGGCATTCAATCTATATAGAAATTTTGGAAGTATGGCCATTTTTACTATACTGGTTCTTTCTAGCCAGGAGCAAGGGATTTTCTGATATCCTCCTCTTTCCATTTTCTGATATCCTCCTCAATCTCTTTTTTTTCAGAGTGCTACAGTTTTCCAAGTAGAGGTCTTTGATTTCTTTCATTAGGTTGATTCACTGAGAAAAATCTAGAAGCAATGACACTCCAGGAAAGACAAATACTCAGTACATTGATCTTGTTTTTTAAATGTAATTTTCTGATATATGAAACCAGAGGTCTTTGGAGAAATGGCTGGTTCTGTGATTGGGCAAAAAAAATAGAAGATGAGCTTAGAGCACATTTTAGTACTGAAAAGTATGGGTATTTTATTTTATTTTTGTTTTTTTGTACCAGGAATTGAACTTGGGACCTTGCGTTTGGGAGGCAGGTGGCAGACCACTGAGCTAAATCCCTGG